TATCTATCTATCTATCTATCTATCTATCTATCTATCTATCTATCTATTTTTAGATTTTTGGTTCACAATTATTTGCAACTGCAATTTTTTAACACCATGAACCCACACGGCTGAACTCACTTGGGAATTATACGTTGGTTTCAATTTAGTGCCCGCAATGATGCACTTCTGAGGAGCTTTTTGAAACCATTATTTATTACTCTCTAGCTTTATTTTCATTAAAAACACTTCCAATAGCTGTAGTTTTTGTAAGCGCCCTAAAACACCATAACAAAACTATTCTCCCTAACATGAAGCTCCCTGGATCAAATAAAACACTAAGAATCTCTTGCAGCTCTGTGTGTGAGGACTGTGTGTCTTCCACCCACCTCTGACAAAGTTCTGCTCCGCTGCACTGTGGATACTGGCCAGGTGGCCGCTGTTATCTCTGCAGTCCTTCTCCGCGTCCTCCCAAGTGTGTCGGCGGCTGAAGTATCTGTAGCAGTGGCCGTGAAACTTCCTCCACGAGTGCTCACAGCCTTCAGTGTCTGCACAGGGAGATAAAGGAGTAAAAAAGGTAACAATTTACATGTGCTGCTCGGGAAAGAGGCTGATTTACTGTAGAACTTGAAAGAAATAAATTATTATTCTTGCAGTGTTTTTTTTTAAATGAATTGGACTTGTACCAATTGTTCTGCAGCAGAGATTGACCCAATATATCCCTTGTTCAACTCTCTTCCCCTCTTTGCACCATTCTGGCTGAATGGTACTCTGTGACATGTCTGCTTCTCCACCTCCACCTCTCATATTTTTCCTCTTTCATTAGACTTTTAATCCATTGCAGAAGCAGGTTGGCAGTGAGACAGCGTAGTCATATGAAAAAAGTTTTAAGTTATTCAAAAAAAAACAACAAGAATTCTTAGAAAATGCTTCCAGTTTGCAGCTCTCACTTGGTCTTTGTCACAATCCTGTCAGCACATCTGTATGTTTATCCCTTTCCATTTCTCTCCCCTCATCTCTCTCATCTTCTCATTTCTTCTTCATCTCTCTGGAGGTTATGTGTCAATGTATGCACAGCAAACGCAATGTGTATGTGGCATTCGGCGTTAAACAACTGTGTGTGCATATGTAGTTGATGTAGTTTATCTGTCAGCCACATTCACTTTCTCCCCATCCTCACCCTCTGCTGTGTTGTTTCTCTCCTCTCTCTCACTGTACGGAGAGCACGAAAATGGACTTGGCTTTAACCACGACTAATGGGAAGTGACACCAGTAATTTTGGCAGAGTAAATTGTGCCATACGGGGGGGGGGGGGGGGGGGGGGGGGGCTGCTTATCATGCAGAGAGAGAGATCCTGTCTTGGTCATGGAAAGCATGAAGGGAAAGGAGTGGGAAGTGGAAGACAGTAAACTATTCCACTGTAAAATAAGTTTCTTTTCTTTTTTAATGGAGCTTTATGAAATAAGGGCCCCAAAACGTGTGCACTTTTGATACTCTGCATGTAAAGCCCTTTATAGCTGCAGTGTGTGACATAATGACATAATTTCAAAAAATGGAATGGACTGGGTCATTGTGACACTATAACTCAAGTAAAGCCACTTTTTGTCACACAGCTTCCGTGGAAGCTGTAGGCAAACTAAAAATGACCAACTCACTGACAGTAAGCAGTGAGGAAGAAAACCCCACTGAGTTCAACAAGTATCACAAGAATATAAGCCCGAAAAATCCTATCTTTGTTATGTTTCTCAACAAAGGTGTGGATTTTCACATTACACAATTATTTACATAGAATTTGCTGGTGCAAATATGAGCAGCTGGAGCTAGCACTTACTGCAGGAATTTCAAAACTTTAGTGAAATGTGTTGTAACGTGAAACGGATGGCAATGTACACTAGGGGTTTAAAAAACACCATTTACTGCTCTGTATTCTTTTAGATTAAAGTTGTTTCAAGCCTATAGTCATCCATTTTGGTCCTATAGCCTCTCTAGTCCTATATGTTGCTTAACGATGGCCGCTCCCAAACATTGTCTTTGTTGTCCTTAAGCCACTTCAATGTAATCATTGTCCTTTGGGAAGACCCATTTGCAGCCAAGCTTTAACTTCCTGGTTGATGCTTGTGAAATTGCTTCAATATTTCCAAATAATGTTATTTTCTTATGCTGCCATTTATTTTTCCAAGTGCACCAGTCTCCCTGCAGTAAAACACCCCAGCATGATGCTGCCACCCCCACACCTCACAGTTGGGATTATGTTTTCAAGCTTGCAAGTTTTCCCCATTTTCCTCCAAGTGTAACAAAGGTTGTCATGGTCAAACAATTTTACTTTCATTAGACCACAGGGTTTGTTAAAATTAAAGTCTTTGTCCTTTTGCACACACGCAAACTGTAATCTGGCATTTTTATGTTGCTTTTAGCGTAATGGTTTCTTTAGATGAACGTGGCACCTTCGGGCATGTGAAAATTAGACTCTAAGTTAAACCACAGTTGTGGAGGTTGAATATTCTCTTCCTGAACTTTATTTTGATTTATGAACACAAGTGCCTCCAATTAAAGCAAATGTCAATTAACCTGTCAGAAGCTTCTAAAGCCATCACATCATCTTCACCTGAAATTGTCCAAATAGTTTAAAGGTGTTAAATCATAGTGTATGTGAATTTGACTTTAAAGAAACTAATGAGAATATCCTCCCTAAAAACAATTGCTCAATATTCAGGCATTTAGCACACAGAAATACATTTGGGAATGCTCTCTGATCTAAAACAGGAAAGATTTAGTCTAATTTGTTGTCAGTCAGTGAGAAAAAAATGCTTGTTTGTTTTTATACGGTGTAACCAAACATCTGGTTTCAACCGCACATTTCTGTCTCAGAGAATTATTATCACTTGATTGATTGAATTTGGAATTCACATTTTTGCAACGTTTCATCTGAGTAAACAAATATCTTCACATATGATCTCAGCTGACTTTGTAGAAATAGCCAATAAACTCTCAACATTATAATTTATTAAATATACTTTATATAGAGGGGTGAGATCTAGATTTCATGCTTTCAGGGATGTCTGAGTAAAATACAACCTGCGCTTGTTTATTTAAAAAGCAAATTATATAATATTCAATGTCATAAATTAAAAAAATGGATTTTATGAGAAAAATATTAAGAGGTGAACCTAAATGAAGAATTGGCTAGGGGGCAGAGGAAGATTAAATGCATGCTGAGAGAAAGAAAAGTGGTTCGTGTGAAAAAGCTGCAGAACATGCTCCACAGGTCAGTGAGTGTCATGTAGGGTGAAAAAGAGTGCAGAGGGTTTAACTGATGGAAACCTGCACAGAGCCAATGAGCTGCAAAGGTTTTAATAAGTTCTACTCAGGAGGCCAGTTCACATTTTCTTCCCTTGCCTCCAGCGCCACAGACCTGACACTTTACCTGAACCCACAGCTTCTGTGTCACACCTCCACAGTCTCACCCACCCTATCAGTCATAACATTATCACAGCCTCACAAACACCCAAACACAGCAAGCTCCCTCTGCCTCCTCTCCAGCTCTCAGATAAGGAAGAGGCTGCAAGCACAATCCGGGTCAATTTGTGGGTTTGAACACAAAATAAGAAAAACGTGTGATTGCTGTATTACTGTAATAATGTCAGTTGTGTTTCAACACATTTTGCTCACTTTCTTCCTGTTCTGTCATCACATTGCTCACAAGACTCCCACAACTTTTCACGTGTCCCAGCTTTTTGGCTGCTATTATCAAAACCAAGAGGGTCATCCAGTCGAGTGAGCCAGTCAGACCAGCCAAAGATGGTTTCTGCTTGAACTGTATGACACTTGGAATACAATACTCTTTGATTAATCACAATGCAAGGATTGTTTGCAATTCTGAAAGTGCACAGTTTGATACTGTGATGATGATCATACTTTGAGTTACTGGACAGACTATCTTCCAAACCTACTAGAAGCAGCTAAGTGGGACCCCTCAGGACCTTTTTTTATTTTATTCTGAGTCAGGAGAAGCTTTCAGTTCTTCCACAACTGAAAGACATCTAGGTTTGTTCTAATAACAGAAAATAAACAACAACTACACCGACAAATCTCATCCATCTCCATTCAACAACCTGAGGGCGGTTGCGCCAATCTCCCACCTTGTAAAAAGATTGTGTTTTAAACTGCAGAGTGGGATCAGGATCTGGCTTAGTGAGGTCATAAAGGTTCAGTTCTTGGTTTTCAGTATGTCACAGCTGCTTCATTTTAATTCAGCACGTCAACTTCTGCTGGAAACCTAACAACCTGTTATGCAGCATGTTAGGTTTTTAAAATACACATATAAAATATCACATGCAGAGCTTTGGTTTTTCTAGAAACTGACAAAATACAAAGGGCAATGATGCAATTATATGATTTTATTCTAAGGATGTAATGTGATTTTATATCCTAATTAAATGTATTTAAAGGTAATAATTTTCAGACACATGAACTTCAATATAATTCTTTTAATGTATGTTGATTAAATACTGGTTGAAATTTATTGTGGTTTTTAGTATGGCTTGTAAAGTGTAGAATGTATTATACTGCATAGGGACATTTAAGAAGCGAGTACAGATAATGGATGGATGGATAAATGTTTCAATAAATATTAACAAACAGATGCTCTTCTGCTAGCATGCCTATGTGTGTTTGTGCATATGTGTCAGGTAACAAAACATCTCATAATCCACTGGAGATATTTTAGTGAAGCTGGTAAAATGTAATTAATTGATATACATTTACAATTGATTCACTTTTGGAGTCAACCCAGTTCAAAATGGAAATCAGTTCACTTTAACCAACCTAACCATGTCTATAACTCAGTCAGTTTGACAGATATTGAGCTAATATTTGATGTGGTAGTAGCTGAGATCATTCTCAACATATTGACAAGACATGAAGACATCTTGTGACAGCATGAGATTGTATATAAATGTTTTTTCACGGCTGCACAAAACCAGCAACAACTATAATTTCTCATAATAAAATGATCTTAGTTTGAAACCCCATCCTTCCTTTATCTTTACCTGCTTCTTCCTTTCTGGGTCGTGGGGGTCACTGGAGGCCATATCCAGCAGTCACTGTGTGAGAGGCGGGGGACACCCTGGACAGGTCTCCAGTCCATTACAGAAGTAGTTTGAAACTCTGACATAAAATGTGGGGAACAATATGCATTTCTTCAGGGAATCCTAGGCCATTCATACTTTTTGGTGGTCTAATTCATGGATTATGACAGAAATCAAATGCTCAAAGTTAAATTAGCTTGCTCCGAATGCACAACATTTTGCAGCTGTGGTTCTTGAAGCATGCGTCCAAATCCAAACGGTTGACGGACAATAATTCTTGCATTATCTCAGGTTTTATGGTATAAGAATCAGCCATTGCTGCTGTCATTTTATCTGCTGACAGCTATCTTAGTCTTTTACGCCACAAATGACCTGGTTACCACCTTCTCAAGCTGTCCACCCACATGACAGCTGGTATGTTGTAATAGCACTGGGAGATGGTCCATTTTGGCTCATGAGGGTAGAGACGTGGTTGTTATCAACAGGAACAGGAGAGTCAGAATCAGTGTGACCGAAAGAAAACAACAGACACAACTGTGCATCTTCAATTCACAGACAATCACTTGCATTGACTCTCACACCCTCTGTTGTTGACAGCTGCATATTATCTCAACCAACAGGTCTGAAACAGAAGCTGTAAACTCCAAAAAAATAGTCTAAATCTTTCAGGATGACAAATAAGTGTATTATCTGAGTTACAGAGTAGGTGTAAAGAAACCTGCGAGACAATAAAAGGAAGTGGGGAAAATTATAAACATGAGAAGAGAGGGAGGAAAAAAAGGCAGATCAAAAATAAACGGGTGTATTTTTTCCTCCTCAGATCCTCAACTTAATCTCTGCTGATTTCCTCTCCCACTCGCTGACAGCGAGGCTCAAAGCCCAACATCGCATCAACCTCTTCAAATATTTAGACAATATGATAATATTTACTCAAGTTGTCTTCTTTGTCTCATTTTCTCCTCTGTTAGAGAGAGGCAGTGGGGTACACTTCAGCGATTAACATTCACACAGACTCGTGTGAATGGCAGTGATTAAAAAAAGGACCATACACTTCCAACAGAGTGATTGGGCCATTTTTATACATCACTGAGTCATACATCTGATGAGGGAGGGAGGAGAGAGAGTATGGTCATCATTTGGCAACAGGGTGACCCACAGAAGGAGGAAATGATTGAAATCTGCTGACAGCCAGTATCAAAAAGAGAGTCACTGCAAGGAGTGTCCCAGTGCTTGGGAATAATTACTAACATTATCTGACTATTACAAGTGCAGTGTCAATCAAGTATTTTAAAGGTGTCACTCACACAATAAGTAGTAAAGGACGGTAAACAAGCACAACATAACTGACTGATGCTGGTCTGAACGTTTGTCCTGGATACATTTCCCACAGATGTGTCTTTACAGACCGATGCTAATCAAAGCAGAACAGACCCACACATAAAATGGGTAAAGATTCACATACCCTGCAAAAATGTGTGGGCATAATATGTATGGAAATTATATTATGTACATAAAAGCATTGCATTACTAACATCTGCATCTTTCCAGGATTACTCCTAAAAATGTATTAAAACGTTTTCAAGATTAAAAGCCAAGCATTCCTTGAAGGACTGTAGTATTGTAAGGATTAATTGCCTGCTGCCATTTTTCTACCAGAGTTTTAGACTAATTTTATTGATCCTGCATTAAGAAGTGACAGAGCTGTAGTAATTTTGGTCAAACTATGAAAAATGTTATTTGTAATAGCATACTAAATTGTGAGATGTGTTTGTGATGTCAGTGACTGACTTAGATACCACCACATCAAATTTTAGATCAATACCTCGGGCAGCTGTGACTGAGTGGTTAGAGCAGTCGTCCTCCAATGCAAGAGTTGGGGGTACGATTCCACCAGCAGTCACATGCCCAAGTGTCCCTGGGCAAGACATTGAACCCCTCATTGCCTCTGATGTGTGTCTCATCAGTGTATGAATGTGATAAAGCTCTGATTAATCTTTGTACAGATCTAGTAGAGTGCTGTATGAACGGGTAAATAAGGGCACAGATTGTGTAGTAAAGCACTTTGAGTATCTTGATAAGATAGAAAGGTGATATACAAGTACAGTCCATTTACCATTTACCTGTAAAATTAACTGAACTGTAAAAGGGTAAAAGTTAAAGTTGTAGCTGTAAATCCAATGATTAGTTTTTTTTAATATTTGCAGACATACAGAGACCAACACACACAAACAGAGGCAAAAACATTATCATCCTTAAACATTATTCCAAGTTTGTCCTCTTCATGTCCATATTTTATTTCATGGTAGACACCCTGAGTTGACAAACTACAGTAACACAGGTGTTACAACTTTGGGTTGCACTGTACTTCTGCAGCTGTGCCTGTTGGTTTTCAGCAGGACACAAAATACAGAATTTCCTCACTGACGAACGTAGCCCTCATGAACACTTCTGTTGTCATGTTTCGGTTAAAAGAGAGGATTAAGGAAAGACTGATGCACACAAGTACAGAAAGGCATTTTCTTAAAGTGGTTTGAATCAAAGGGCCAATTTATTTTGTAACTGATGGATCAGCGAGATGCAGAATGACATGAACACCAGGAGCATCTATGTAGAGACCTGGTTCTTTATTTGTCATTCGCACCTCATGTGGTACATGTAGTGGAACAAAATTATGTACACAGGGTCCCAGTTACATCCAACAATAAAATGTAAAATGTAAAAGAAAAACAGTAATAACATCTAAGATATGAACTAAGAAAAACATCAACTAAATATACACTAAGCACTAGTAGCATAAAAACATTATGTCGAACAGCAGCACGAACATGAGTCTGTGTGAGCAGATGTGCACGCATGAACACATCAACATGAATCAGATCAGCAGCAACATGAAACAGATCAGCAGCAACATGATGTGATTTTTCACAGTGATTATTCTGGTTTGGTTTTCATGAGTCTAACAGCCTCAGGGTAGATGCTGTTCCTCAGTCTAGTGGTTCTACACTTAATGCTCCTCAACCTCCTTCCTGAGGGGAGTGGGGCAAAAAGTGTGTGTGCTGGTTGAGTGGGGTCCTTCATGATGCAGGTGGCCCTCTTCCTGCATCTAGAGGTGTAGATGTCTGTGATGGTGGGGAGGCTGACTCCAACATTCTTCTGTGCAGCCTTCACCACTCTCTGCAAAGCTTTTCTTTCTGCAGCTGTGCAGCCTCCATGCCACACGTTGATGCTGGAGCACAGGATGCTCTCCACTGCACACCTGTAGAAGGAGGTGAGGACTGAGCTTCCCAGACCAGCTCGTCTCAGCCGTCTGAGGAAGTAGAGTCTCTGATGAGCTTTCTGGATCAGGCTGGTGGTGTTGTTGCTCCAGCTGAGGTTGCCATTCATGTGTACACCCAAGTACTTCTAGCTGGAGCCCACTTCCACTGCAGATCCTCTTATTTCCAGAGGGGTGTAGGTGTGTTTGTTCCTTCTGAGGATCACAATCATCTCCTTTGTCTTCTTCACATTGATGTGAAGGTTATTTTCTTTGCACCAGCTCTCCAGGTGTTCCACCTCCTGCCTGAAGCTGGACTCATCATTGTTTGTGATGCATCCCACCACCGCTGTATCATCTGCAAACTTTCCAATATGACAGCCTGGATGGGTAGCTGCACAATCATATGTGAGCAGAGTGAATAGGAGAGGGCTCAGCACATGTCCCTGAGGAGAGCCAGTGCGGAGGGTTATGGTGGAGGAGGAGAAGTTGTGGATCCTCACAGACTGAGGTCTGTTTGTTAATAAGTCTAGGACCCCATTACAAATGGAGGGGCTTAGTCCTAGTGTGAATAGTTTGTCCATCAGGGTTTGGGGGATCATGGTTTTAAGGCAGACGTCAAGTCCACAAAGAGCATGCAAATGTAGGAGTCCTTCTACGGTGAGAGCAGTGTGGACCACAGAAGAGATGGCATTTTCTGTTGATCGATATATATCTATATATTCTTCTTTCGGCTGCTCCCTTTTAGGGGTCGCCACAGCGAACTAAGTCGCACGAAGACTTGGCATTTGACACAACCACAGAACACCGAGCTATCACAGCCCTCTGTGTGGAGCAGAGAGCTGCTATCTAGGACACCCAGAGGAGCAGATGGTGGGGGTTAAGGGCCTTGCTCAAGGGCCCAGAGTGGGACGAATGAGGGTGGGGGCAGGTGTGGGTGCTTCACTTATCCCACCCACATTTTTGATGTTGTCGGTACCGGGGCTTGATCCTGTGATCTTCTGATTACAGGCCACCATATAGTCAAAAAGTTTTTTTTATAGTACAACATTTCACAGAGGTAAGTTAAAGTTGACTATCAGTTTTGATGAACATAAAAAGGGCGACTGTTCTGGAATGATGTGCCAAGAAAGTATTGGTTACAAATGAGAGGCTTAAAAACTGTCCTAGATGTCAAAAAGTAATATACAGTAGTGTTTTTGTCATTCCCTTTTTAATTCTGAATTTTATGCCATTTTATGTTAGCTTAAGTTAATGAGTTGTAAATTAATGAGTTGGACAAAATTCTAAAAATTAAACCTCTAACTTAACTTAACAAATAAGAATATTGAGCAAATCAAACCTTGCAAACAAAGTTGTTTTACATGTAATTTTCTTGATTACCTCTTGACAGATATAAAATCATTCATTTTAAATTGAGCTTCTTTTAATTGTTACTTCGTAAAACCAGAAAGCCAAACTATAAAACTATACATTTTTGTAAAAGGCGCATAAAGCAGCCCAAAACATGATGTTACAGAGTATCCATTTTAATGCTGATCTTTTTATTTTAGATGTTCAAACAGAAATGTGATTGCTTTTATTTAGTAAGCCACAGGTGATATTTAGGAGAATAATCAAGAACAATTCAAGCAGATAATCTAATTACTATGTTTCGGGATTATTATTGTTATTTTTTTTAATCATCCAATTTGTCTCAATATAAAATCACTTGCCGAGCGTTTTCTCGTTTTGCTTTCTAATTTAGTTCAACCTTAACTTAAATAAAAAGCTAATGAAGCATCACTTCATTTATATTTTATTAAAACAGAGCTAGAATAAAAGGGTTCTGTGGTTTAAATCTTTTGCATTTTCGATGTGGTGGAAATTTAACACAGAATAACAAAAACTTCAACTCAAGGAGCCACAGAGTTTTTTTTTAACTTGTCACTTTTTGTGCAGACTTTTGTGGGGAAATGTCAGAGTGAGAAGAAACATGCCAAAGACAATCAGACATGTTCGTTAACTCACAGCAGAGGAACAAAAACACACCTTTATGTTCTATCTTTTCTTGCTCTCAACTTGTGCACCTTTATTCCTATTTTTTCTTCTGTTCAACTCAGGAAAGAGAGTGACAGTTGCTCCAGGAACATTGTCTAATTACGCACCTTGAACAAGAATAAATTGCCTCACTTCTCTTCATCTTTCCTGTCTGCTGTGAAATTTGGCAAATGTTGAATATAACAGCATATGGACTGAGAGGCTTTGCTATTAGTCCATCTGAGAAGCTTCTTTAAGCAGAACTTCAGGGATATTTTCTTTGACTGTCAGTGGGTGTGTGTGCAGAATACCTCTGAATGTGTGTGTGTTTGTTTATGTTATATTTGGGGACTTGAACCAACTTACACGCCTGCTATTTGGAGACACCTTGGCAATTAAGGAGTTTACTGCTAGGTGGGGAAACAGTTTACTGGAACTCCTCAGACTGAAGAAGTCCTCCAGATAGAGGGTGAAACGTCTCTATATAAAAAAAAAGAAACTGTCCAGATGAACAGACTGTGAATTATTGGATTTGATACCTGGATGATTGAGCATGAACTTTGTTGCAATTAGGAACCAAAACCACAGCCCCTACCCAACTCAACTTTTAATCCAATGTCTGTTAAATATGACGAAGCTACAACCATTATTGTGTTTAATGAGGTTGGTTAGCTGTGGCAGCCATCTTGAATCAGGTTGGTTTCAAACGTTAATCAGATGAAAATTAGCATTGGATGACTATTTTCTGAAAGTTTCTTTAAAATCTGCCCACTGGTTCATGAGATATTTTGCTAACAGACAAACAAGCACACAAGCAATCACATGATGTCTTTCCTGGTGAAGGATGACAAACTTGCAAACATACTGAGCCGTTTATTTGAAGGGACATAAATTTAGCTAAAGATAGTCCCATCAAGATTTTCACTTAAAGCTACATAAGGAGACATATATATATCTTGATGCATGATCAATAATCCAGGTAGAAAAATCTAAAAAGTTAAGTCTGGTCCTCTGGACATTAAAAAAAAAAAAAAAAAAAAAAAAAGTGGAAACGTTTTGTCTATCATCTGAAAGACTTCTTCAGTCTGAGGTGCTGTGTTTCTGTTTCTGCCATGCTTATGAAATGCTTCCTCCTGCACCAGTGTGCAGCTGCAGGATAAGCTTCCTCCTGCAGCTGTGGGATGCACTAGAGCTGTCATTTCTAACCTGGACCCAAAGCCATGATAATGTACTGGATGGGTGGGCTGGGTCGGTGTCGGGCTTTTGATTACGTCAGCGGATCAGCTGCAATCAAATTATATGGTAACATGGCTTGCCATACCATCACCAGCCGCAGGCGGCCATTTCACTGCAAGCTGACCAGCCTTGAAAGAGTTAAAATAAAGTCCAGTTAAGCTTCAGATGGGACTATACTGCCAGGAAGCGATCCATCACCCAAATGGACGTTCATTCAGCTGCTGCACTCAGCAGACGCAAGCGGCCGACGACCCAAACAGGTGAGATCCCAAAGCAGACATGTCAGAGCGGTCCGTGTCTGAATAATACAGAATGTGGGCAGAAACAGGGTTGTAATGCTCTTTGACGGCCATGAAAGAACAAACACCCCCTCAGCTCCGATCTTCTGCCCCTTTCATTTAGCTGCGAGTCCCCAACCATTAATAACTAATTAAAAATGTTTTTTTTTTTTCTGGGTTTGGACCTGTAATTATTGTGAATTCGTTGGGTCGGGATGGGGTTCGGAAATTATGGCTGGGGCCAGGTCATATCTGATATTTTTGGGCCCGAATGCAACTCTATGCTGCATACTGGTGCAGGAGGAAGATTCCCCTGTAGCGTGTCATATCGCCGCTCTGCAGCAAAGAAGTGGGCGTGGCTGAGAGCGAAGGCAGAGAGCAGCGGGAGGCAGAGAGCTGAAATCATGTAATTCTGTGCTCTTTTAGAACGTTAAGAGTTTAGAAACATTGGGAAGGGTTTAAAATATATATATATATATATAGAAAGTGTAAAATAAACTAATACTACTTGTACTATAATTCCTATTTTGCGGTTTTTCACTTATCGCAGGGCTTCAGGGTACGGATCCCCCCGCATAAACGAGGAAATACTGTATTCAAAACTCTATCTAGTATTAATTTTATTAAAGATAATTAAACAGCGGTCCTTGAAAGTATTCTGTAAATACTGCT